AGGTTGCAAGTCCAACTCTCTAACCATTAGGCCACAACTGTAAGGAAGAAAAACGTTGCGAACAGGAGCACTTGATACATGTACATTGTTGTACAGTATGAAATAGGACTACCTTGGTGTTTAATGAAGGCCACCATTGTCATGTTGTCTGATGGAATGAGAATGTGGTGACCCCTTAGTGCTGAAAGTGTGGAGAGCCAGAAAAAATGCCATAATTTCCAGACAGTTGATGTGTAAGTGTAGCTCCAGGCTGGACCAGGAGCTAATAGCATGTCTATCCTTGCACAATGCTTGGAGTTGGAAGAATTTGTCATGACCACCTTCCTTCTGTAGGTCAGTCCCAGTTAGATGCCTGTCTATTACAGGCAAGGGGCCACATCAACACAGCGGTGGGTTACCTTGAGATGGAGGCATCCCATTACTCTGTCAGTGATAGTTTGCATGGGTGCCCACACAGCAAATGGGTAAAACCCAGCATGGGCAACAAACACAAGCTTCAACACCCAGATTTGGATCAGGGGTTGGCAATTTGAGGCAGCAGCTGAACTAGACTGTTTCAGCAGGAAGCAGCGCATGGCTTGCAACGACTTCTGGTTGCAATAAAACGCTTGGCCAATGGTGGCACTCAAGAACCACCAAGTTGCTCGACCGACCGCTTGGGCCATTGGCTTAGTAGTGTGCAGAGCCAGAGATCCCAGTATCCCTCTCGCTAGAAATCGCAGTCCAGGGGCACCTAGATCTGAGTGAAAGGGCACTTTTTCGTCTGCAATTAAAGGGGCAAGGGCTTCTTCCTCTTCTTCTTCTTCTTCAGAGCCAGCAAGGAGATGTTCTTCGTGCTGAAGGAGAAAGGCGGGCTGAAATGGCATTTGTTTGTGCAGTCCCTACCAAAGCATGGTAAATGCGAAGTGAGTGAACCTCATCGAAAGGAAAGTAATGGATTCAAGATCATAATGATACGCTGCTGAAAGTGTCTTTCAGACCCCAACTAAGCAAGGCTCCACCAGACAGGTGTGTTCCCTAGTAAAAAAGTAATATTTAAAATACATTTATTTCATATTAAGTATAGTTCAAATCTACTAATATATTTATTGACATATCACAAGAGACTTAGCTTTGCATATGGATCCACACGTCTCACGTCTCGTCAGCCCCGTAACAGAAATGTGTTTTAAAGTCACCATTGATGAGAATTTTTTTATCTTTGAATAATACCGGTCTTCAAATGCAAGATATTTAAAGTATACTTGCAATATGCTTAAGTATATCTGTAGTTGGACTCCAGCACTACTTCCGCACAATTAAAGTGTATTAAATACAAAATGAGTTGTTACAATTTAGCAGATTTTAAGAATACCAGGTTAGTATTGTAACGTGTTGTGGCAGGAGAGAAGCGCACGCAGGAGTAATCCAATAGAAAGTCTTTAATTTCAATTTAAACTCAGGAGAATAACCAGGAGAAAGAAATACCACAAACATCGAAGCTCAAACTACAAATACAGGACAACGGAACTCGTGAGAACACAGGGCTTAAATGAACTGAGACAAACAAGATAATTAATAAACACAGGTGGAACCAATGAACTAATCAAGCAACACGGGAAAACTCGGTCAAGGAAGGTGGAACCGAAACACAGTGAAATCTAAACCAAAACAGAACATAAACGTGACAAGTTGTAACGAAAGTCCACTGAAGGCGAGCGTAGTGAGAACCCAAGTGCAGTTTATTTACAAGATGTGATCCAAACATAATCCAAATAAGATACACAGACTAGAGACACCGACAGCGGGTTACAACTTCAATACACGACGAGAGACAATGGCAACATGATGGCTACTTATAGCAAACAAGAGGGTCACATGACAAGAACAAACCAATGGGAAACAAGACACATGACTAAGACTACCAATCAGAACATGACACAATGAACAAGAGAGAAACAAAACCCAAACACCAAACCCCACATTACATATCCCCCCCTCTAAGGGCGGCTCCAGACGCCCAAACAAGCCATGCCGGAGCAGGCAGATCGGGTGGTCATGGCGGAGCAGGCAGATCGGGCAGCCATGGCGGAGCAGAGACATGGACAGACCACTTGACTGTGAGTTCATGAACGGCCCTCTTGGCCGTGGCAGGAGAGCAAAGTCTATATACTCGGCAAGGGACCAGTGAACCTTTCCCCCCGGAAGCTGGGAGCAAATGGGCTCATTCAAACCCACCCGAAAAAATCATTAAAAGCCACCAAATGGCAAAGTCCACAAAAGTCCTGAACATATTCCTCAATGGCCCGGTTGCCTTGACGCAGGCAGAGGAGGCGTGAAACTGCTGGGTTCATTTTGTTCGGGGTCGTGTATTCTGTAACGAAAGTCGAGGGCAAGGGAAGCATGACACAAACAGGGACAATGAAACAATTACAAAATAAAAGACATGGAAAACATGAACATGAAACAAAACCCAAACACCAAACCCCACATTACACAAGTATACCAAAACAGGGTATTTTTATTAATTATGTAAATATGTAAATGTATTTGTTGTATACTTATTTATTCAGGAGATGCACTTGCCTGTGACTGAGAGGTAGTTTTAAATTCTGAAAATGACACATCTCCTTTCTGTAAGTCAAAGATTTTCTATACATTGCAGTTAAAATGATAATTATGTCAAAGCAAATTTACTATTTGTATAAGGTGCATTTATAAATATTCTCTTTATACATTTTTTCTTTTTTAAAATGTGATTATGAGGACATCTTGGTAACACTTTACATTAAGATTCCCTTTATAAAGGGAATACTTTATGTTATTATGACTAATAACTCATTTACAAATGCATTATAAATCATTGATAAGCAGTTATAAATGCATGAATAAAAAGGGTGATTTTAATGCCTGCCAAATAGTGAGCCATTTTAACTCACATGTTATAAATGCTTAATAAATATATTTATTAATACTTATTTCACTAAAAACCAGATCCCTGATTAATTTCATGATGCAGCAAAAAATTTACTATTATAGAAAGACTGAGGGGTGTTGTATTTATGGTTTGCTCATTTATATCTCATGACTTTTCTTACGATGTTTCTTACCAGAATCTACTCTGTACCTTACCCATGATTCTCCGATTTTTGTTTAAGGATGGTGAGTGATTGCTTGTTTAGTTACCACAGAGTACATAGAAAGCATAGGTATGTGAGCTGACCCGGAAGACTTTTGCTGTGTTTGATTTCTTCCTCGGAAGATAGGAGGTTTTCTTAACTCTTGAGTAAGTGGTAGTTTAAATTAGTTAGCTCACCAGTTCTTATTTATGATTTGTTTATGTTTAAAAAATTTTTTTAGCTGTTTTCCTATTTTTGGATATATTCCTTTACCTGTATAATAAAACTTTAAAGGGGTCATATGATGCTATTTAATTTTTTCCTTTCTCTTTGAAGTGTTACAAGCTCTTGGTGCATTAAGAAGATATGTAATGTTGAAAAGACTAAAGTCTCAAATCCAAAGAGATATTCTTTATAAAAGTTAAGAGAAAACCACGTTGTGAAAGCGAAACTACTTTGTTTGGCCTTCCAAAAGAGGACGATATCCGCTTCGTCATGCCTAGAGCTGATCTGTGCTTGTCGCTAAGGAAATACATCAACTTCGCGCTGTGGATCGCCGGATCGGCTTTCACCGTGGACAAAGCAGAGTCCAGCCCGGGGTCGTCACATGTGGTTGCCGCAAGCCCACACAGCACTGATTGCACACAGCTGTTTCACTGATTGCACACAGCTGTTTCATATCACTCACTCACTATTTAACACTCACTCTGATCCCTTCCTGCTGCCGTATTGTATGCGCTTATCGCCAGCAGTGATAGCTACTCTACAGAGCCCTCGTGCCTAGACTAGCCTAGCCTAGCCTAGCCTAGCCTAGCCTAGCCTAGCCCTGCCTTGCCTTGCCTGTTTTCCTGGATTTATCCCTTTAGTCTTGCCCCTTTTGATTCTGTTCGCCGTTCGTTGACCTTCGCTAGCCCTAGGATTATTCTTGTGCCTTGCCCGCCATATACCTGTTTTGCCATTGGTCGACCCTGCCTGTGTTTATGATCTCTTTGCTTAATAAAGCTTGCACATGGATCCGCATGTCTCACGTCTTGTCAGCCCCGTAACAGTATGACTTTCTTACTTTTTTGAGGTGAACTATTTTTTTTAGCATAACAAATGTGGCAAAAGAAAAAAGGCTGTCAGTCAGGATAAAAAACAGCAGGAACACACTTAAACTTGCTTTAAAACTAATTTAATGCAAATTTGACTCTCACAACAATTAGGTTAAGATTTGTTTTTAAAAACATGTTTTCATTAATTTAAAAGTGTCCTGATAAACACATTAAAAAAAAAAAAAAGTGAAGAGTGAGAATATTTGCACACAGTAAGTAAAGTAAACAGAATGCTTTCTATTTACGTTTTACGGCAATGTGATTTAAACGTCGGAGGTGCGATCATGTTGTGGTTTCGGGAAATAGTTATGGCTAGCTAGCTAATTTCCCCAGTGCTTCAGTAGTTAAGCAGCAAGTCATTGTATGTGAATACCTATTTTATATTTTACTTTTTATTTCATTTTGTCAGCACACATGTCATCAGATGAGTGTGAAAATAGCAAAGTAAAAAAAAATATCTTGATCTTTCTAGATCAAGCCTGACATTAGAACAAAAGTCTTAAACTTAAACTGTTCATAAAAAGCACTGAATGTTTCTAAAAAAGATTATATAGAAGAAAATAACTTATTTTTCTCCTTGTCCTTCAAATGATCTTACAGGGAGAAATTTCCCTTATATTTAACTTAACTATATTCATTTCAAATACTTATTAAAAATAAATATTTAGTTAAGCTGATATTGTATTTTTAGACAGGTTCATCTTAACCCATTCTCTCACATTTGAATTTGATTGTATGTGTACAAAAGTCTACAGATTAAACAATCACATCCTGTGTCATCCTCATGACTTAGGCAGAGTTGACACTGAGTAAAGTATAAAAGCAGGGCTCTTTCTGGAACTTCACAAAATCTTCCTCTGAGATTCTGAAAGCAACAAGCTGAGTTTTAGCACAGAAACCTACTAAACAACTTAATGTCTTTAAAATACATTGAGAATACAGTGTGTGCAGAATATGAATACAGACAATTGACTTTTGCTGCTTATTGATTTTCAGGTTCATTATGACAATGCTAAGAAGTCTGCTGCTTCTTTTCATTGTGATCTCCATGGGAAATGCAGATGGTAACCAAGACATTTATTTGTATAAACCCTCTCTTTATGCCATTTTAAAAGGTTGTTCTGCCAAACCTTTGGCTTTTTGTAACTTTATGGAGAGGATTAGCAGGAACTATACAGTATTCTATTGACCAGTATTTGCACAATACAAGAAATGATGTTAATATTACAAGACTAATATTTATGCACTGGATGCAGTTGATATAGTTGAAAAATGCCCCTATGGATGGACAAACTTTGGAGTCTGATGCTACAAGTTCTTCTTTCAGTCGGTTAACTGGATCACAGCAGAGGTAAAGTGTTAGTTAACAAGGTGTTTTTATTATTTTTAAAGAAAAACTTTTACCTTTTCCTTTTTCCTTTTTAGAAAACTAATACTGAGCAAATAATTATTCAGAGCATATTTTGTTTGAAAATGACTTAAAATGTTGTTTAAAAAGTAATTTACATTTTTGCAGTAATTTACGTTTTTTATTTATAATTTTAAAAAAAATTATCTTTAGAGAAACTGTCTAGGTCTGGATGCAAATCTCGCATCTGTGCACAATAAACTGGAAAATGATCTTCTGCTGAGTCTGTTGCCTTCTTCTTCCACACTTTGTTGGCTTGGTGTTCATGATGGTGAACAAGTAAGTTAAGTTGTGTGGCCTAAAGAGACTTATTTGTTTGTTGAGACAGAAGTGAAGATGGTTTAACTTCTTCAAAGCCAAACTAAATGACATTCTATATGGAGTCTGAGTACAGAAGAGCAATCCTATAATCACTGTCTTTGCATTTTAGGAAGGACAGTGGATGTGGAGTGATGGAACTCCATATGACTACACCTACTGGTGCTCTTATGAGCCTAACAACCGAAATGTCGAGAACTGTGGAGAGGTCAACTTCTCCTGTAAGAATGATGTGCATTTTTATTAATTTTTTTAATATTTACCATCCTAAAATTTCACAACAAATAGTAACATAGATTGGCTCATTTTCTAACACCACTATAATGATCAGAATAACTTGCTTCATTTTCCACCCTACAGCTAACCGTTGCTGGAATGATATAGCCTGTTCAACCTCAATGGGCTATATTTGTGCTATAGACCTGTGAGATCATTCGCAGTCATCTTGCTCCACAGTAACTTTGACTGTACTATATTTACATTTTCTGAACTTATCTTTACAAAACGTTCTCAACTTTAATCTCTTCTCAATACTGAAACACTCCTCAAATCAATAAAAGCATTAAATAAAAGCTTGTGTGTTGTGGTGTTTAATCAAAATGATGTGTAATATTGTTGTGAGAATATGGTTTGTAGAGTGGCATTAGGCATTAAGGGATGTGCTTGTTAGTTAGCTTGTTTTACTATGAAGATACAAAAAGAAAATTGGTATTTTGCAACTCTAATGCAATTCTCAGGTATAGATAAAATAAGAAAAATTTGGTTAATATCAATACATATTAAAATATACGAGCTGTTATGTGTTCAGTATTAAATGTGTGGTTTTGAGACACACCTCTCTGTGCATGCAGTTTATTAAATACAAAACACCAGAAAAGAGTACTACACAAGATCAGATTATTTTACTATTGTTATTAACTGATCAAACCTGACATTAGAACCAAATTCTTAAATGGGCGCTGTTCACGAAATGTACAGTATATTTCTAAAAAGTTTATATGAAAGAAATATAAAAAGAATAAAAATATGAAACTATAAAGGACCCTTTTCACAAGACTGTGATGACGCCTTTCAATGGTAATCAGCATCGATTCGTAAATCCTCCATCCTATTAAAAAAAAAACGTTTTTTATATTTTGATTTTTTTTTTTTAATGAATGTACATTTATTACATGATACTTTGTATTATATCACCTTTGCATCAAATTACAAAAAAAATAAAAAAATACAAAATAATAGTGTATGCTACTGCAAGGGTGTTTCTAATGCAGTGTCTATGGGATGGTAAATTTGACATTGTTCTCTCTTCTGACTGCTGTTATCAGTCTCTCTCTTTCTTTCCTTTTTTTTTTGAAAGTCATGAAAACACTATCCTGGAGTTTTTCTTTTGCTATTTGAGCAAATGGGAATGCAAAAAAATATATTTGTGGTTTTCTCCCATTCACTGTTCTCAAAGTCCCAACTATGACGACTTCCGCTGCTGACAAACCCGGAAATGTTAAAAAGGTCTATTCATACTTAGTCTAAGTACAGTATGTAATGTTGTTGAGATCTTGTTTAAAACTTTGGAAGAGACAAATATGAGACCACCAGAGTCTTTAGGAGAAAGATCTGAGCACAGTGTGTGGTAATGAGCCTATGGTGATGAAGCACGCCAGAGCCCGCCAGAATGGATGGGGCCATCTGGCTATATAAGTGGGCATTTCGCCATAGGATCCTCAGGTAAATTTGACTGAAGCGACAACACTGAGTCGTGCAGCATCATAGCATGGCTAGCAACGCAGTACTCGATCCCGTATCTCAGGGAACTGAGGTTACGTTAGTAACCGAGTACGTTCCCTCTCGATACTTCACTTGTACTGCATCGCTAGACACTTATGGGGAACCAGTACAATCCTGCCATGCTATGATAGAGGAACAACTAAAATGAACTGGCCTTGAGCATCTAAGGGCTCAGAGGGACCAAGTATAAGCAGGGTGAGCCCCGCAGGAGGCAAGAGGGCTGAAATCACCAAGGTCAGCTAAGCCTTGAATAATGGGCACACCGCTAGACCACACCCAAGACGAGGCTTCGCCCCATGTAGAGTGGGCTCTTACTCCCATGGGGCACTGCAGACCCAGGGAGGAGTATGCTAGCGCAATAGCATCAACTAACCATCGAGAAATTCTCTGCTTCGTGACCGGAGACCTTTAGCATACAAAGAGTTGTTCAGAGATGTTCCGACTGCCTGAATGGGGCAGAACGCTCAATGTAAATTCTCAGCGCCCTGACAGGGCAGAGAAGTTTCAGCTCCTGGTCCTCCGCCAAAGGAGGAAGCGCAGAGAGAGTGATAACCTGTGCTCTAAATAGGGTAGTCTAAATGCCTTGGCTTTAGGACGACCTTGGAGTCGCTAGGCCCAAATTCAAGGCAGGCAGAGCTTATAGAGAGCGCCTGCAAGTCACCTACTCGCTTAACCAATGCTAACGCCAGTAGCAGATTGGTTTTTAACAACAGGGTTCTTAGGTCTGCTGATTGTAGCGGCTCAGAGGGGGAATCCTTAAGGGCTCTCAGGACTGTGGGCAGATCACATGTAGGGACGTGAGGGGCCGAGGCGGATTGAGCCTCCTGGATCCCTTCAGAAAGCGAACAACTAAGTTGTTCCTGCCCACCGACTGTCCAGCTATAGGAGTGTCGTGGAAATTTTCAATGCTAATCTGACTTCACCACGGACAACTCAAACAACTACAGTTGTTAAAATAATAACTACAGTATCTCGGGCTAATTCCCTGAATTCCCCGAATACTTACAATACAATCCAAAGAACTACAGTATCGAGCTAATTCCCTGAATTCCTTGAATACTTACAATATAATCCAATACTTCCCTGAAGTATGGTGAGGCCGTCCCGTCAAGAAGCCACTATCACTACCTCAATCACACATAAGCACACAGGTCTTTAGCATCTATACACTCTCACCGCCTTTCTCAGCTGTACGCTGTTACCTCAGCCCGAGGACGGCTCTATAGTCTTCCAACACTATCACTGTCTTTGCGGTGGTCTTTTGAGCATAGAATCTTTAGTACTTCTATTCCTCAGCTGTGCAGCATATACCAGACACCACTCCCAAGTTGCTCTTTGCAGGAATGAAAGTTTATTCATGGCCAGGAGCCCACTGGTCACAACAACCAAGGGAGACTCTCTGAACAGAAGGATGCATGAACATTTATACCTTGTAGTTGAGTAAAAATCAATGTCACTCAAGTCTTCTTCACTGTAACTGGTTATACTGATTTGGTCATTGGTTTGTCATATGACTGTTAGTTCTACTGTTTTAAGAACTTTTTAGGTAAGTATAGATTATTTAATCATAGGGACACGGTCTTTGATCTGAGCATTCTTAGTCTGCACTTTTCTGAACATTCTATGTTGAACACACCCTTTTGACTCCTTCTGAGGCCATTACATAAAATATTTTCATCACAGGAGCATGGAAAGCTGCTATAGCTACCACATAGACCTTAAGCATGGAAGGGGAACGGCCCTTATCCAACAGTGCTTGTAGGAAGGACAATATCACCGATATGTCACAGGAAGTCGAGTCTTTGCCGCTGGTTGTGCACCAGGCGGAGAAGACAGATCATTTAAGGGCATAACCTGTGATATAGTATTTAGGACACTCTCGGGAAGATCTGCTGGTTCCTGTCGAGAGCCCAGAGGTGCAGAGCCCACAGCTCGGGCTGTGGGTGCCAAATCGTCCTGTTCGCCTGAGAGAAGGACTTTTGGCATGTCCGTGGGGGATGCAAAGATGTCTGGGGAGAAGAAGAGAGCAGTTTTTTACGAGAGAGATGCGCCATGATTGCTGTGTGAGAGATCGACAGTTTTGCAGCGGAAATCGTGAAAGAAGATAGTAATACACAGTTAATTTGCGTTTTTGCGAGTTCAGTGAACATTAATGCCATCGTGTGAGACTGGAGACTGAGTTGTTGCAGAAGTTCAGCTGATTGCGTCATTGAACAGAGAACGGTATGAGAGACTGGCTGAGAGCACAAGAGAGTTGCAGGAAACATGAGTTTCATTCTGAACACTGTTGTTTTTGTGTCATTTGAACTGTTTGCACTTTTGAGAGATTTGCTTTCCAGAGTCATTTATGAACTGTACTTTAGATTGAGAGACGTTGATTTCTTCCTGCGCATCATTTAAGTGCGCAAGAATGTGTATACTGTGTGAACTGGAAGTGAGTTTTTTCACAGAGTGTTTCATTTTTTCCGCTCTCTCTAAGTATTTTGCATTTTTGTTGAGACTGTCCATCGCTTACGATCAGTTTTGCTTTTGGGAAGCACTTTTCTTTTGAGACACAGTCAGTGTGTGCTGTGGCTGAGCTGCGCCATTTTGTTCTAGAAAGTTCCTGAGTTTTTCCTGGGCCATGCTAAGTTTTTTTTTGCTTGACGACATCTCATCACTGTCCTGCCCCAGCTGGTCATTTCATTATCACAAGTCATCTCAAGTCGTCTCAAGTCATTGCAAGTCGTCTCAAGTCATCGCAAGTCATCTCATCAATTTCATTGTTGCTACAGACTAGTACAAATGTTCTTTGCACATGCACACACATGAATTCTTCACTGATACAGACTGAACTGAACTGAGAACTTGAACTAAGAAATTGAACTGGGTTTGGTGTGAAAACTGAATCATCTGTTGAGTCACAAGAGTCATTTTAAGCAAAGTCTCAAATAATCTAGTAGCCAATAATACCCTCAAAATCTGGGTGCAATTTAGGAAACAGTATGGCTTACATAAGGGCCTTTCGCACCGCTTTAGTTCCAGAACTAAATGTACAATACTAAAGTACTGGGATGATTTTGCGCAAACTATTTCCCAGTACCATTTTATACAGAAGCAGTTCCCTCACTTTCCTAATCGTCCCCCTGAAACGCACATTGATAATTTCCTTGATTTGAATATCAACCATAAGCATTTAATCTCAGTCATTTATAATTTAATAAATTCAATTAATGTGGACCCTACTGACACTCTTAAAGATACTTAGGAGCACGACCTAGGAGTTACTATTACAGAGGATCTATGGCGTAACATCTTGACCCAGGTACACTCCTCTTCCTTATGTGCTAGGCATGGTTTGATGCAGTGTAAAATACTATTCAGAGCTCACTTAACCAATGCCCAGTTGGCTACATTTTTCCCAGATAGAAGTGCTGCCTGTAACCGCTGCAAAATAGACCCTGATCCCTTCTTAGCCCTCTTTGGAGTATCCCTTAGACCTGATCTGACAGCCCGAGATAGTAAAGTTGTTGATTTGATCCTTCTTAAGTGGAAGCACACTTCACCCCTGACACATGACAGGTGGATACAGGACATTTTTTACTGTATCAGACTTGAAAAGTTAAGATGCTCACTCTCTGGTTCACTCAAGTCCTTTTATGAGACTTGGGATCCCTTTTTGGACTATATTAAAGGACTAACTTGTGCACCTGTAACTGGCAAACTTTGTTTTTGTTATTTACTTATATATTGGTTAATTATATCTATTTTATTTAATTTGTTATTGTTTATTTATTTATTTCATTTACTTTTTTCCAGTTAATATGAATGGGGGATTGTGGAAGGGATTAATAACAGACAATATCCTACTGTTCACCTTGGTATCATTATTTCAATCTGTATTGTCACACAAAATACCAATAAAAAAGATTTGAAGTAAAATATACCCTTATGTCCAGGGCTGTCCTTAGGGTGGTGCAACTGGTGCGGTGGCACCGGGCCCTGCGCTTTGAGGGGATTTATATTTTATATTTATATTAACTTATCAAATCTGACATTAGAACCAAATTCTTAAACAGGCACTGTTCACAAAATGCACAGTATATTTCTATAAAGTTTATATGAAAGAATAAAAATATGAAACTAATTCAAATTCTGACGTACGATCAGCACGTCAGAATCTGTCAGGTTATGTCATCATTAGATACAGCGCAGGATGTCTTGGAGGACAAGGATTGGAGGGCACTGAAGCGAGTGAAGATCAGAAAAGCAGCTGACCCTGATGGTAGGCCTATTTCTGGTCATTTTCTGAGATCCTGCGCTGATCGGCTTGCAGGTTTATTTACATACATCTTCAACGAGTCCCTTGCTACATCTGTGGTTCCCACCTGTTATAATCCTCATGTTGCCTTCCTGTCATTTTGACGAAAATGCTTGTTAATGTTATTGCATTGGACTACAACTGACTGACTTTGCTTACACAAGGCAGTCCATAACAACTGTTTTTTTTTTCTCAATCATTTTTGTACTTTTGGGAGAGTTTTCCCCCCACTTTCCTGTTTAAAAATGACCGGCCTACAAAAATTTGCTCATATATTTCTTGTTAGGCTATATTATTTACCAAACATTAGGTTCAATCTTTTTATCAACTTGTTCTTTCAATTAGCAATTTGTATTTCTTTTTGGAACTGATTAATCGACCTCATTGATCTGAGCTTATGCACCTCAGTTTTTGAATGAATGTTGAATAGAAATGTCACAGCTCCTAAGTCTTAAGTGTAGGAGAAAAGTCTTAAGTACAGTGTGTACTGTTGTTGAGATCTTGTTTGAAACTTTGGAAGACACAAATATGAGACCACCAGAGTCTTTAGGAGAAAGATCTGAGCATGGAGTATCCCTTAGGCCTGATCTGACAGCCCGAGATAGTAAAGTTGTTGCTTTGATCCTTCTTAAGTGGAAGCACACTTGACACTGTGGTGATGTAGTTGAGATCTCTTCTAAAACTTTAAAGGAGACAAATGCAATAGATTCAGAGTCTCTAAGGAGAAAAATCTGAGTACAATGTGTGATGATGATGATGATGATGATGAGATGTCTTCTAAAGCTTCAAAGGAGACCATTGTGAGAATGTTAGAGTTTTTGTCTCAATAAAATAAAATTGAAGACAAAGCTGATACCTAAATGAGATATTTAAAAGAATTGGCTCTTAGTATCCTAGGCTTAGAGCAACTGCAGTCAGAGCCATAGCCTTGTGGGTAGCACATCAACATCAAGACACAACTGCACCTCAGACAGCATGAGCTTGAATCCCAGCTAAAGATACTTTCCTGCTCCTGTTCCCTTCTCACCCATTTCTCCTCCAACTGTCCTGACCATTAAAGGTGAAAATCCCCAATGTAACCAAAGATAAAAAGAGTAACATCTGAGCAGTAAGACTTTTTTTATAATAGTGTCTGGAAAGAGATTACAGCAAGACAATAAAGAGATATCCCATGTTTCTTACAGCCCATTTTCATTTTGGACTCCTTTCTCGCAGAACTTTCTTATGTTTCAGTTATGTCTACTTTTATTTCTCGTAAGGAATTTTTGAAGACAATGAGATGCTGTTGATACTAATTTTTCCTCTTGGTTGGTTATGAAGGTCTTTGAGAGACTCATCAAAAACACCTCCATCCCCATTACCATAGACCAGGGGTGTCAAACTCAATTCCTGGAGGGCCGGAGCCCTGCAGAGTTTAGATTCAACCCTATTTAAACACACCTGATCCAACTAATCAAGTCCTTCAGGCTTATTTGAAAACGACATGGTATGTGTGTTGCAGCAGGGTTGGAACAAAACTCTGCAGGGCTCCGGCCCTCCAGGAACTGAGTTTGACACCCCTGCCATAGACCCTCTTCAGTTTGCCTACCATCACTGAGGATGCTATTGTTTATGTCCTGCACACTTCTCTTACCCACATTCACAGAAACAAAGACCTACAAGGCTCCTATTTATTAGCTCAGCATCAATACAATAGTACCCCGCGGGCTGACCTACAAACTCAGTGATCTCGGATTGAATACCACCCTTTGCAGCTGGGTCCATGACTTCCTCACAGGCAGTGAGAGTAGGCCAGTTCACCTCAAACTCCAGCCCCACAGGGTTGTGTCCTGAGTCCCTGCTATACTCTCTCTACACATACGACTGCATGTCCTCTCACAGCTCCACTTCTGTTGTCAAATTTGCTGTTGATATGGTGCCACCTCCTTCAAAATCTCCAAGAATTCAAAACCATCTGAAAATCATATTCAAGGTCAAGTCCTTTTGATGCAGCTCACACTAAATTAATATCATTTGGCTTTTAAAGGAATGAAGAGGTGCCCTGAAATTGTACATACCAGGGTCCTCTTCTTCTGCAAAGGCTACAATGTGAATTCCATTCAAATCATCCTCCTGCAAAAGAGAACTTTTATTTCAGTGTGTCATTGCTTTACCAAGCAATGACACACTGTTTTGTGTGAATACCAAGGGTTCACACAAAACAAGGGGAGTCCGCTTTTAGTTGTTATGCCGCCCGCAGTTGGAATCAGCTTCCAGAAGAGATCAGATGTGCTAAAACATTAGTCACATTTAAATGCAGACTCAAAACTCATCTGTTTAGCTGTGCATTTATTGAATGAACACTGTGCGATGTCCGAACTGATTGCACTATATTCTATGTATAATCGTTTTCTTAAATTCATTTTAAACCTCTTAAATCAATTTTTTTAAATCATTTTCAAAGTTTTTAAATTCCTTGTTTTATTGTTGTGATTATTTTTTTTCTTTTCTTTTATGTAAAGCACTTTGAATTACCATTGTGTATGAAATGTGCTATACAAATAAACTTGCCTTGCCTTGCCTTGCCTTTATGATATCCACAGGTATTTCTCTGCTCTGCAACGGGGCTTTATTTTGCAATAAAGCTGACTTTTCACTGTTCCACTTATTACATGACCACTCAATAAATGAGTGCACTGGCAATGTGGACATAAAATATTGATTTGGGTTTCAATTATTTTATAACTGGATATCTTAAACCGGGTGCTTATTAGAAAAAAACAGTCATTTACAATATAAACAGTCCAATGTAATATAATATAATAATATTAATAGTGAAGTCCTCTGGAGTCATTTTTATGACAATCAATAACTGACATGCAAGATGGCGCCAGTCAAGTTTATATAAAACAAGAAAGTGAGTCTGCAGTGTGATAGGAGAGGCATCAATGTAGCTCTAGTTTAAGTTAATGTTTAAGCAGACTGATATAGAGCACTGCCATGGATGATATTAGGAGGAATCTGACCACTAGATAATGCAGCTGACCAATCAAAATAGTTTTCCAGAAAGCCATGCAATAAATTATGATAGTCATATAGAATATAACAATCATACAATTCCATAAAATTTTCATTTAAAAAATATTGCTCACCCAGGTCTCAAACATGTCTTCTGCCCTGAGCTTTCTTAGAGTTGGTCTGTGGAGGTCAATAGATATCATCAGTATGAATTTGACATCAATATCAAATATCTGTTTATCCATCCTTCAGAATATCATTAGATTAGCTTTTACTGATTACCTCCTGTGCTCGGATATGAAGGCCACCAGCTCTTCCTCTGAGTGTGGTTTGTCTGGAATGGTGACTGGTTCCTCCATGAAGGGCTCATAGAAGTCCACCTCATTCATCTTCAGAGTCAGCTCTTTTGCAACCTGAAACACAACAATTAAAGCAACACATCTGCCATCAGTAGAGAATTCTCCACTCCCCAAAAGAAAATAATGGCACAATGATAGCTTAAAGATATTCTAAACATAAACAGAGTATAAAATAAAACAATACTCACAGATTTCTCAAAGGTGGCAAAAAAATTGATAAAAGGCTGAAACTGTTCAGCTGCCTCTTGGAAAGCAAGATAATCTGAGGAAACCAGAGAAAATAAAAAAAATGAAGCTAGCATTTGTTTGTATATTTATTAAAAGGCAACTGAATCAAAAGTTGTAAATTCCATTTTGATCACAACTGGGACCTTTATTTTTGACAGTGTAGCCTACCAGAGTTGTGACTTGAAATAAATGACCTTTAAATGTCAACTATAGCTTGAAAGAGTAGTAGCCTACAATGCTCAAGAGATTTCTTTGTGCATTTAAAAACATAACTGGAATGTACAGACATTTAAAAATGAATGTGTTAACATTTATTACATGGTTTGCATACTATGAGGTATGTGTTTGGAAAGTGCAGAGATCAGATAACCACAGCTGAAGGATGTAACTGGTCCTCATAGTCTACGTACACATACTTACGTTCAGAGTCACGACTCTTGAAGAAACCAATGAGTTTGATGTCTTCCTCCATACGGTCAAAAGCTCGTAACTCCAAAGCATTGTCAATGATCTCAACCGGATCTTCCAACAGCTGAAGCATGAGGGAGAGATGGAGGCAGAAAGTTAAAATGGCATAAAAGCACTACAACAAATTAGATGTCTAGATTTACAATAAATACAGATTTTTTTTTACATCCAGAAGGAATTCCACAAGAGTGTCTGCAGCGAGCAGGCCATCAAATTCAATCACACGGTCCTCCTTAAAGACATAGACGCTGCCTTCCTCATGCAGACCTTCCAATGAAACATATAGACATTCATCATTGCAATGTAAAGTACGCTGTACACGCATATAGTCATACTGTACAGTGTATCAGCATCTGTTTATGCAAATTTTGCAAAAAACATTGATGTTGTTCTAAAATTCTTTTACTGGGATATTTGCAGAGGATTTTAGGAGATGTTTTAAGGCCATGTATCATGGGTACATAATAGTCATGTTTGTATCTCTCTATAGTCAGTGCAATGCACTGTTGCTTCCATCACTTTTTCACCAAAACAGATTTTCATTTTATTTTTGTTACACCTGTTAAACTAAGATGGAATGAAGATTTGTTGGGATAGATGGCTGAAAAGTGTTTAAAATATTTGACAGCTTATCGTAACACTTCATGAGGCCTATAAATTCCATGAATACACATATAGCAATATAATTCATAAACATTTATTTAATTTTGGTAATTCAGTTTAAATGACTAGTTTCTGTGTTTTTACTGTTAATCTTAAATGTATTACACTGCATTTCTACATTGTCTAAATTTCTGCATAAACATTTCAATGATGATTCTCATTCAGATATCGTACCCATATACTGTATTTGAAGTTTTGCATATGAGTTTTCACCTCACCTAGTTTCTTGGCAACCTTAGCATCTTTTTGGGAGTCAACCATTCCAAAGCCAATATCCTTTTCCTCCAAGACTTGAGCAGCTAACTGTGGAAAAACAAATCATGATTAGCACTGTAACGGCTGGGTTTTTGTTTGTTTTTTGGTCACATTTTTTATTTACTATTAGCTCAAGCTCCAAGGAAAATGTCAAATAAAATAAAATAAAATAAACAAAATTAAAGTCTAATAAAATACATATAACCTAAGTTTATACATATATGTATGCGTGTTTTAGAGAATATTAGTAGTACATGGAGTACCGCTGAGTCACACTGGCATCGTTGTCTAGATAGTGAACCTGTGAGCCATGAATTTAGAGTTAAGGAGGCCACACTTACATAATCATTTTAGAAGTGTTCTCGTTCCATAAATACCCACAGTGTCCTGCTTTCATCATGATGCGAGTAGTATAAATGGCTGAATTTTAAAAGCCAATACTCTAGGACCAGTTTCCTGAGCCCACATTCAGAAGCTATCAGGTGCACTGAACATAAAGTGTCTGATTAACATGGTGACTGATGACGTCCACTTTTTAATCCAGATATATACTTAAGTGAAAAAGAGATGTGAAGATAGACATGTCAGTCAGCTGCAGCCTGTGGGCCTCTAGAGTACTGATATTACATACAAAAAATTTATTTGAACCTATATTATATTACATTCATTTTTATTATTATATTTCATACTTGCAACCCATTTACATTAAATTTAATTTAAAAAGGCAATTCCATGTTGCTTTGCTCCAAATAACACTCTCTGAAGTCCATTCAGTCTTATAGCTTACACCATACATTCACTCTTGTCTTGTCCTCTCTTACCTCTAGCACTAATTCAGCCATTTGTAGCTGTTTCTGCAGCTCTTTTGCAGTTGGCAGAGGAGCGTGGTAGAACAGGCACAGCATGTCGTATTTCTTCAGGGCTTTGCGGTAGTTCTTCTCATTTATGTCCAGGACACGATCTTTGCCATCATAACGTGGGAATTCGAGGCCTTTCTCAGCACCAGCCAGGGTAGAGAGGCCCAGAGAGGCAAGCAGCAGGATCCAGGTGGTCTGCATGGTCTATACTAGTGACTTAAGACCTTTCCAAAAAGAAACAGTGGCTCTTCATGCAGCTCCAGTAGGTTTAAGAAAGCTCTGGTCTAGAAGTGTCACAAATAGGAATATAAGTCAAGAGTTTATAACAGAAATAATTACAGTGGAAACCGTCCAGGCCTTCTTCCACCGTTCTTTCCGAGGGTTTGCGTGCCCTTCTTCTGAAAATTCAGCTTTCTTCAGGCAAACCCTTGACACTCTGCTTCTCTCCTAACCACAGACAAAGAGTGGCTGGTGGATTGTGCTGGTAATAGGATGGGAGAGAGCAGACAGGATACCTTACATAGCAGTGTTCCTCTAACCCTTTTTTAGGAGCCCAGTTGTTTCAGAGCTAAAAATACCCCAGTTGGACAGCAAAGGGACAAGAGCACTAGGGAAGAGTGATTAGGCTTCAGCTAATGACATTTGATGCTGAGAAGGGAAAGGAATGATATGAAGACTTCACTGCAACATAAGACATATGTAAACAGGAGCAAATGGACTCTTTCCTGTATGTTCATGTGTGCGAGATGGAAAACAGCTTGCTGTTGATGACAAAAAGTCATTGTGTAAATTAGTGTACTGTACTGTAACCGGACACCTGTGTACGTCTTTGTGTGTGAGATTTTTAATTTTTTTGGTCAGGTATGTCCCACTACATGTGTGTGCAAGTTAAGCTGACAATGTACATGTGCTGTTAAATTTGGTGATTGGTGTTTTGGGCTCTGCAAAGCCATTTGCAGAAAAACTGGAGTCCCTAATGGAGACAGGAACCCTCTAAGACTGAAATTGTATGTTCTCTTGAAACATATTCCAGTAATATTTGTTTTACTTACAACTCAATTTTTTTAAGTGTACAATCAGTTATTAGAACTGTAAGAGGTAGTTTGAAGTCAGACTGTCTTTCAGGCTCCTCTGAAAACTGACAAATGACAAAGAGCACCATTTTTAAACTTTTTGTACCATTTTAAAACTTACTTTGTATTTTTTTCCATTCAGTTTCAATTGATTTCTCTAAATATGAATGAATGAATGAATGAATGAATGCGCACTGACTTAACTGAAATTAATATGTAATTAATCAAATTATGCCCACAGGCTTCTATAAATATTATTTTGTCTCCAGTCCTCACACTTGTTACTTTTAAATCACATTTTATAACTGAACCTTTGAAGTCTGTTTGACTTTAAATAGAGTTTGTTGACACAGAAATGACACCAGCAATGCTTGTGCCCAAATTAGGATCAGCTGTCTCAAGGATTCCTGTCTAATTGCTTTAGACACAGCATTCCTAAAAAAGTATTTTTCTTATACAGTCACAATGTCTAAAAAAATAGTCTTACAACACATAACACATAAATCTTAAATCAAACTAACTGCTGACATGCTTTACAAATCGCTCATGTTAGGTGATGCAAACCATTCCAAATCCTATTCTGGAACTTATTTCAGAGCTGTTTTGTGTCCAAGGGTAAAGGTTCATTGGATGTCGGGCAGATAACAGAACACTGGAAGTATGCCTTAGTCTGGGAAGACCAGACTCACTCTTTGTACTTGTGGTAGGTAACGCTTCCTTCTCTTGGTCTTCACTGTGCTTAGTATTGACAGCAACATAACAAGCATCACACTTAGCAGATGACGTTGCAAACGTTTTTCTCAGCAGTTGGTTTGGGCTATGGTGGAACTTGGTGTTAATTCTCAAGGATTTTAGTCATGGTGTTTGTGACTGACTGTACAGGTGGAAGCTTAGATTTAGCCAATCCGTAATCACAAAGTAAAACAGAAAGAAAAGAAACACTGGAGAGAGAACTTGGTTGTTACAGGTTCTCTGTTCAATATTTGTCTCAATTGAAGTTGCTAACTGAAACCACTAGATGGCATGTGTGTCCCATGTCAGACTCGTTTTCAGTAAATCATATCTAAGCTCCATTGAATACAGTTCCATTTTTATATGGTTTGGGGTGAGAAGGAAGGAAGGTCCTTTTATGTGTATGAAATTGAATGGCAGTCACACCCCAGATAGTCCCATTTTTTATGTTTACTACATTCATGAATACTGCTTTCCAGCCACACCTGTATGGTCCCTTTTAATATATCACACAAGATTTGAAGTCTGCATATGGTGTAGCAAACAATACAGCCATTCAGAAACTGCAGTACAACTCAATTCTCTCTAAAAAAAATTGTCCACAGTTTCTGCATTTCTCAAAGAAATGTAAACATTTAGCTGAAGATCCTAAATGAAACAGCTTTGGACATGTTCTAAGTGTACCCTGAAACCCTGTTTTCTGCGTTGGTCTGTGTTGTTAGCACTGACATTTAAAGCAATTTAGCATACCTCACAAACACAGAGGCATATTGTTTGATTCAAGCTATGCTGTGGATTTTTTCTTAGTGTCCTCATTGCTAACAACACTGAACATACAACCTCTCAATCTCCTCTATTTCTTTGTGTAATGGCCATCATTTCTCTCTTAATTCTTTTTAGTTCCAGAATATCAACCAAGTGATACTCTATGAATATATTACAAATGACAAATGATTTTGAATCCCACTTGAATGACAAATTGTGTACTAGTATATGTACTATTTAAATTAATTAACTGAGTTTGGATAGACAGGTGATCTCTTCGGATACAGAATAAAGTCTGTCTCTGCAGATACACACTATATTTTCTCTCTTTCCAGCACAGAAAAGCTATGATGTTCCTTTAAGACATACTCAAGGACAAAGTGAAAAAGTATGAGAAATTGAGTAAGAGAGAGAGAGAGAGAGAAGAGGGGGAAAGGTGATGGAAATATTTGACTTTCCAATGGAACATGAAATGTTTGAAAATTGCTGAAGACTACAAGTAAGCAAGATCAGTTGTATCACTGCATCAGTTCCACATTTCCTCCCTTTTCTCTCATTTAAAACAGACACATTTTCAACATATTGTTTATTTGGTTCACACACAAAGGGTTCTGAAGTGAACCTAAATGCATGCAAATAAAATGACACAATGCATTACCGTAAGAACACTATGATGTTTAGAGAGCACTGCTACTGATTAGAATCAAAAGGACATTTTAATACGTAACACAGTAAAGTGGCCTGAGGGTTGAGGGGTATATAAATAACAGTTACTGGAGCAGAAACACAGCATCATTAGCTGAAGGAGAGCTTGTGCCAAAGGTCTCCAAACTTGTTCCTGCAGAGTTCAGCTCCAACCCCAATCAAACACACCTGAACCGGCTAATTAAGGTCTTCAGGGTTACTTGGAAAATAACTGACAGGTGTGTTGAAGCAAGGTTGGAACAGTCTGCAGAAAGGTATATATGTGTTACCTACCTGCTTGTAAGACATATTTTTAGGATATCCGTATTTCTTTGGTTATGTATTTAGAGGTTGGGGTCGATCCCATGCAGGCATGGGTACACACCAGTATACCTCAAACCATCAGATTCATCCACTCAGTAAAACAGGGCCTAAGTACAACTCGCATAATTACAAAAACAATGCTTCTCTGCAAGTAACTAGCAGTTTTATGCTTCAACTAGAGGGCCAAAACATTGTGTTGCTTTAAAAATCTCAGTATATCGTAACAGAAAAGCTGCATTGAGATAAATTACTTCATTACTATTCCGGAAAGAAGTAATTACAGTTAATTTTTAAAGCCAAGTAATTTGCATGTATGTTTGCCTGAGAACCTGATCTAATGATACACTGTTTTTAATGGAGCTGTTATATCCTGCTTGTGTTAACTCGGGTAGTCTCCTCAGATTGTCAACTATATTAAAAATATATAGCTATATTGTTTTATGCATTCTGGTACTGTACCTTTCTGAACCACATACTGTATATCTTACGCACTAAAATGATCACTTCTAACCACTTTTACCATTACTTTTGTACTTTACCATTTTATATATATGTAATGGTAATATCACTTTGGATTTCTCAGAAAATTCTGAGAAGGTTACAGAGAGAAATGAAAAAGTACAAAGACAGCATGGTAATTTTCCATGAAGTCTGTCCCTTCTAGCGTCATCGTGCCTCACCCAGTTTCTGTCGTTTGATCTGTGACACCCTTTTTACCCTCCACCCTTCTGGCTTTTACCATGTACCATTTTTTACATTTTTTTTTATTTCTGAAAATAACAGACTGGAAAAAGCCAAAGTTGATCGGAGAAATAAAAACAATTGGCAAGAAATATCTAGGGTTTTTTTTATTGCAAGGTGATGCTGAACTCTACACTTTATATTTACTTATTTTAGAAGTATGTATAGTACAGTAGTATAAATGTACAGTACAGTACATCATGTTTCACTAAAGACTACCAGTGTAGAAGGTGCATGCAGTTGCATTATACATCGGAGGACATAGACCTTAAAAAGGACAGCTAATGATTAGAATCAAAAGGGCAATTTAATACGTAACACAATAAATTGACCTGAGGGGTGTGGAGCAATGTAACATTCCAAGGTACTGGAGCAGAAAACCAGCAGTATGAGAAGAAGGAGAACTTATGGTAATGACTGGTCATGGGTTGAACATCATCATTTAAGCAGACAGCAAGAGCAGATGTAAGATGATCCATCTTTACTACTGTCAATTTAAATAGTAATTTCAATAGCATTTAGTAGTTAAATATGTGTTCTGCACCTTGTGCTAAACCGGTTTGGTCCTGTGATGATGGAGCATCAGTGTGGCTCCTTTGAGGTCTGTTACCACAGGCCTGAACTCACTCCTAAAGTGTCTTGATTAACTCAGCATCCATAAATATTTATCTTTTTCATTCAGATGCCATTTTGTGGAATGATTACATTAGTTGAGGAATCTCCTGCACTGCCGAACCGCTTAACCGGCCATCTATATTGAATTTTGGGAATGTGTGGCATCCGTGTTTGTTTTGCTGTGGGTTGTGGTGGAGAACAGTATGATTCATCATAATATACTGAACAATGCTGTTTTCCATGTGTCTCTGCCCTGGTGTGTGATTGCTTGTGACAGGTTTACATTACTGCATGACCTAAGGCTTGACAGAGATGTTGTCTTTGAGAGATTGTTCACATTGTATGATTCAGTTAACTACCTTGTATTATAACCACAAACATGTTGAATACCTTTCAATATTAAGGTTAATTGTCATTTTTATACATAGCAGAGCAATAGACAAAAACAACAGTTCTGTCAGGACCACTATCGTCAAAGATGATTGACAATTAGCATACAGTTTGGATTGGTGGTATGGTTCTGTTCTGGGCAAGA